CCTTTTTATCACGTGGTTTGAACGGTTTGAAAGGCGCGGCACCCTAAGCCGCATCGCCATTGGCTACCGAGTCATTGTCAGCCATGGAGACCTTTTTCCTTCCTCCGTGTTGTCAGCTGTGTTGGTGGCGGCCATCGGCATTTGGTCCGTCTGCTTTTCTGCTCGTCTACGCATATTTCCGCGATGACAAGCCCGAAAAAGTGAAACGTGAGACCGCAGAAGTTTCGAACGAAGCATAAGTTCAAGGGAAGGCGGCGTAAAGCGCCCCGAACGACGGCGATGAACGAGAACGCGCCTACGTGTGCTAGGCCTGACGGCGGCATCGACGAGTGCGCGAGCGACAGTGGCTGCGATGAAGGGATTGACGCTGCGCTTTCTTTCGTCAGGGCTTCGGAAAAGAAGCTCGGCTTCTTCAAAAAAGACGAAAGACAGTGCCATGAGGTTTGTGCAACGACAGTTTTGTGCGACACCCTCTTGCTGGCGGCACTTGTGGCAGGTGCGGCATGCCCTGCTTGCTGTATTCAAAAACTTGCCGTTTGGGAGCCGGCAGAAAAGCGCAAGAGACTTTCGTCGCTCCTCGAACTTCATTGCGAAAACAGCGAATGCTCAGCGACTGTTCTTTCGTGCTCCTATACGTCACTGCGTGTTACGGCGGACGGCAGCAGCCGAGTGAGCCAACGGCACGACAGTGGGAGCTCCCGAGATAGTTTCGCTGTAAATGTGAAGGCGGTGGTGGCTGCACACGCTGTCGGCATTGGGCATGAGCAATTGTCGAGATTTTGCTCCATTATTGGACTCCCAAAGCCAATGCACCACCGAGGATTTTTTTCGATAGCAAAGAAGGTGCACACCGCTGCCATGGCAGCTGTGAGTGAAAACTTGCGCTGATCCAGAGAGTTGACGAAAGAAGTAGTAGGCGAAACTGATGTGACTGTTATGTTCGACGGCACTTGGCAGAAGAGGGCCACAAAAGCCACAACGGGATTGGCGCGGTTATCTCCTTAGATACTGGCCTCTGCTTAGACTTCGAGGTCATATCAAATTCCTGCCTGACATGCAGTAGGCACAAGGATATTGGCCCCGACGAGGAAGTGTGGCAGGCATTCCATGGCTCAGTCTGTGAAAAAAATGCAGACTGTTCCTCCCATGCCATGGAAACGGAGGCTGCAATGTGCATTTGGCAGAGAACATCGACTTGTGACACCCCACTGCATTTTATGACATTCTTGAGTGACGGTGACAGCAAAGCATATAGTGCAGTTGCAGAGTCAAAAGTCTATGGTGCTGTCAATATAGAAAAAGAAGACTGCACTAATCATGTGGCCAAAAGACTTGGCACGGCGCTACGGACGCTGCATGTGCAGCGTCCTCACGAGGGCAGAAAATGAAAGAGCCAGCCATTCAGAAGCTCCAAACATACTATCAGATTGCCATAACAAGCAACAGGGGGAGTGTACGGGATATGTACACTGTAGTATGGGCTTCGTATTTCCACTCATGCTCTACTGACAATGCTGGCAGCCACAAGTTTTGCCCTGCAGGAACAGAGTCGTGGTGCAAACATCAACGCGCTGAAGCACTTGGTGAACCTGCACCACGCCACACATCTCTCCTGACAAAAGCACAGGGATTGGCTGTTTTGCCCATTTATAAGCGGCTGACGGATGAGAAGCTCCTTGCTCGATGCAAGGAGCTTCGGAACGCATCGGAATCCCTGAACAGCAAAATTTGGCTACTTTGCCCCAAGACTAAGTTTGTCTCCCGAACGGTTGTCGAGACTGCCGCAGCTATGGCAATCCTGTGGTTCAACAAGGGTCATGCTACTTTCGAGCACATCCTGGAAGTGCTCAACATACTGCCATCTAGAGATCTAGTTACTTTCAGTGATTCCCGCGATGCGAGGCGCATCAAGAGAATGTCCGAGCGTCTGACAGCATAAGCAAGGGCCCACCGTCGTCGTGGAGTGAAAAGGGCACGGCTAGAAGAGAGTGCTCGCAAGGACCGTGAGGGCACAACCTATGCTGCAGGACAGTTCTAGTAACTTGCAGTGCTTTTCATAGTTCTGTTGAACATTATGGACAAAGAATATGCATTTCTAACAACTCTGTGATAAAAAAAAAAAAGGTTTCAAACTTTCCAATGCGTTTTTCTCCTTTTGCAGTTTTGTGTGATCTGTGCTTCTCATACATGCTAGTTCGTATACTTAGAATTGTCATACCTCTATGAAATTTTGCACATAGCATGATGAAGGCCCATAGAGTGCAAGTATCTATTCAGATTGTCAATGCTGCTTGATTATGTTTTTCAAAAATTACATAACATTGAAAGCCCTTGGCAACTGGAGCCATAGTAAATTTTTCTATTTTATTATTGTATTTCACCTTTTTACACACATAATTTATATAGTTTTTTGTACTCTACAGTTCCAAAGGATCATAGTCAGCTATATCTGCATGCTTTATCTCAAATTTTTATAGGTCAGAATTGTTGCATAACAATGGCCATAATTTTGCAGTATCTGACCTGCAGAAAGAAAACCAAGCAATCTACATGAAAATAAATAACATATTTGAAAAGAGGAGAAAAAACTCTATTAGCATGCCAATTTGTGTTAAATTCAGACTCTTATTAAAGAAAATCGTTTTTCGAGTAGCATCTCCCCTTAAATGAGCACGGAAGGGGGTAAGGGGGGATATAACAAAATAAAGCACTATTGCGGTAATTCGCCGACTACTACTCGGACCGCCTCGATGATGCGCATTGCACAGAAACTATGTTGAATCACGTCCGAATTTCACGCAATGAACCACACAAATCCTTCGATTTAATGGGTGCGCACCTGATTTAAAGACATCACAGTCGAATTGTGAGCCACCATTCGAGTGCTATCCGTGCCATTCGTGTTTTCATTAACAATAGCCGCCGCAAAGAGTTTTGTTGATTCTGTACCAAACTGTAACTTGGTATGCGACTCCTGCCGAAGTGCAACAAATGCTGAGTAGGCCTAGCCTGCCATTCCGTTTGATGTCGCGGGAAGTTTTTCCAAGACCTGAAGATTGGGCATCGAAAAGATTGCACTCAAGTACGGAACCACAAACAGCGTGCGTGATACGAAGTTTGCCTTCGCGACCGGGAGATCATAAACGAAAACCTGCCAAGCTTGTGTAAAACCACGCCCTGGCAGCAAAGGCGAAAACCCACGTCATAAAGCCTTAAAAAGAGCGATAGCAAAGTGGCCGACATCGACGAGCGTGCCATTTTGACTCACTGTCAGCGAGCTTATCACAGTCATCTGCAGATAACTGCTCGGCGGAGTGACGGTGGTACAAGCGCGTCATGGTGCCTTTCGTGCGAGTCCGCTTGCACATGTTGCTTGCAAAAAACGAACAGGCTACTTGCCACACCGTACCCGATCCCAAGTGAATCATGCACGAAGAACACACAAATGCGCGCATGCATTGGACTGCAAGCAAACTAGCATGCGACAGCGAGAGCAGCTAGAATAAGCAACATACTGCGCGCAACTAGCCAGGGATGATTGGTTCATCATGGCGGTACCGCGATTCAATAGAACAACGTGAGATCATCGGATAGGGTGTCATTTAACACACGATTAGTCCTAACTTGTCAGCAAAAGGGTCGCTCACACCTTTTAATAAAAATATGCACAAAAATAAATGGATTGGCCACTACGTGACCTTTTTTATGGGCGGTTTCATATATTACGAACTACCGATATAACGGCCATTATTGCGGCACTTTCGAGTTGGTTATAAACCAGTTAGACTGTAGTTTTTTTTTTTTTAGTGTCTCTTCGAACACTGCAGCGCAAGCATTTTGTACTGTGGCGCTTCTTTGGAAGGTGTGCATAGCCCAAGATGCCAACACTTTTGAGTGGTAGTCATTTAAAAGCTGCTATTTCTAAAAATATTAATAACAACGGTGAGTGAATGTGCTGTGCCTGCTCGTGTTTAAAATTTGTCCTGTGTTAGTTCAGAATGAGATCTTGTTTGGAATAAAACTCTTTTCAAATATAGCACACGTCCTTGTTTTTTGACGCCATTTGTGTAAGTTTTTGCACTTATGATGATTCAGTATAAAGTATCAACCAGCTCAAACCATCTCGCATGGTTGTGTATGACTGTGCCCAACATAGAGTTGATGTACTGACTCTATAGCAAAAGCTCCCCAAGGTGTCCATGCACGCAAATCTCCCACCAAATGGATGCCTCCTTGCATGCAAAAAAGCCCCTTCCTGTGGAATAAAATTTGTCTCAAGTTCCACATTCATAGTGTGATATTCATCTAAGTCCACTTGTGTTTCTTGATGTGCTGCATACGTGTACAGCCACCCAAATCTTTAAGTGGCATGCCTCAGTGGTAGCTTTTCTCTGCGTCAATGCCACGTCACAAAGCCAACTTGCAAGCGTAGATTAGCAAAAAGAATGGAGTTTATTCAAGACTCATTCAAGAAATATATTTTGGGCTTAAAGCTTACTCGGGCTTGAGCTTGCTAAAATTTTTCTCGATTGAATTAACTCCAACATCAACTTATCAAAATTTTCTTCAACCAGGCGCAAACTTACTGATCTGCTACTCGGATACTCATGGCGCGCTATCAGCGAGGGAACTCGTGACAGAGCTTGCCAACATACAAGGCTAGGATAACTGCATGGCCACATACTGCACTCAACGGTCAGCTAGGCCTTCTCGAATGCGTAACTCGGTCACATGGTGCTCACACACACGAAAGTCTCTGCTCATGCACGCTAGTTTGAGCACCTGGGCCATAATTAATCTCTTAATGCTATCTCAAAGTTGTTTGTGGCTTTTCAGTACTATTAATTTTTAATATCGTGGAAAAGCAAACTCTGTCTTGGAGAGTTCGGGGCATTCACGGAGGCATGAGCAGCTTACGGTTTCAGAATGGTCTTGTGTATTTCACTTTTGCATTTCTGTGCCTTCTAATGTTGGATTGTCAATGTTTCCTAAACATGCAGGCACAATTGGGCTGACGCTGGCACCTCGACTGCACTCTGTGTTCGGCATGGATGTCTCGACACAAGCTATCGAGGATGCCAATTACAATGCTCAGCTCAATGGTCAGTGAATGGCTCAGAACTTTTTTGAGCTAGGCTGTCTGGTCACTTTGACAAATGGTCTTAGAAGAGTGTGTGTGCCTCATCATATTCTTAGCTAGCTTGCATAGATAAGGCACGTGCATAATTAATTCACAAATGAATATGAAATTCAGCACTCTCTGAAAATCTTGCATTAGTGATAAAACAGGCTGTAACGGTGAGACCTCACATGAGATGGTCTCGAACTGCCAAATAGTTGTGCCTTTCTGTGCCGTATGCACTTTCAGTTTTTTGTGAATCCAGGCTAGTTTATTTCTTAATGCTGATAAAAAAAAACAAAAAAAACTGGAGGGGGGAGGGGGAGACACTACTGGGCTCTGGGTTGTGTTAAGGGACCCTAAAACACTTTTTTGATGTTTAGTCAGCCTTTAGGCTCAAGCATCATCAAATCGTTGACACCACAAGTTTAGCGACGTGCCATGTATGGAGGCCACTACAGGCAGTTATATCTATGCCCTTTTTTTTCACCCTTGCCTTGCCTTCTCAACTCATGAGAAACGCTGGCATCTTTGGCAATCACAGCACCCTCATGAGCACACTTGATGGCTTTGTAACTGTCAAGTGTGCTCACGGTCTCCAAGATTGCCCACTGACAGGTTGTGAGTGATCTCAGAGATTATAGCACAGTGCGCCCAGTTGCACACATGCCAGAAGGTAACAGAAACTAAGATTGTGGAGTGGTTGATATTTGCTCCGACAGGTGCCACAATCATACCAGCTGATCTTGCTTTCACACATTCCACAGCCAATCAGACCAGTAGCCTGGGTGATGACATGTATTAAGAGGATGTTGTACTGTGAATGGCCTTTTGAAAACACATCTGGCTGAGCCGCAGTGATAGGCAGCGACTTGCAGTGTTAAAGCATTGCAAAAAATTGCACAGTTTTTGCAAAAAGCTTAGATCAGTCTGTAAACGACCCTTAAAACTTGGTCTACTGGCCCATTGTGTTTCTAAAGAATAATCAAAACCGTTATAAGGTCCCTTCAGGAATTCACTGAGTACAGTGAACTCGGCAAGTTTGTACTGATTAATTACGTTAGAGAGGCCCTGTGGCACTTTTTTAGCAGGGCCAGAAAAAAGCTATCAATCGCTGGTCGAGGTTCCGGAGAACATGTGAGCTAACCATTACAGAGCAGCACATGGCCTGGAATTGGCAATTAATTCCTAAAGTCTGCAAAAGACCAATCTCTGCTCTTTCTACAAATGATGCTGTAGCGCCACGCTAGATTTGGCCAGCTGACCATGCCGAAAAGAAGCGTGCCGCATGGCAGATGGGGTGTGAGCCACGAGAATATTTCGAAACGGCTGAGCTCTTGGCCTGGCTAGACGCTGCAGCGGCGACTCCGCCTATGCCTACGTCCTAAATAAAAGATGTGACCTCGGCGCGGGCTCGTCGCTGCCGTCTCGCCTCTCGTTCCTCAACATATGGTGACCACGGACCAACGGACAATTGACCGGCGCTGCCACTGAGCTTTACGGCCATGTTCCAGCTAGCTCAAGCATTGCAGCCGCACTTTGACCCGCATCTGCCACCGTTTCGCATTACCGGCGTCGAGTTATAGTTTCAAGAGTTCGAGGCTCAACAGCATCTGGCTTCAAGAATTCATGTTCGAGGTCCTGGAGTATGTTTTTCCACCTGACCTCAAACGACGCCTCACCTATTACTCTTGGAGCCTTTGCCCATATGACGGACTACGGGGTGCTGTCCTACGGTTTTGCAGCTATGAACATTGCCTCCTACAAAAGACCGGCCACACAAAAGTTGCTTTATCAACGCTGATCAAGCCTTCCTCGCGGTTTTCATCGACTGCAGCTCATCCTGCACTATGTCACAACAATGAGGTAGACGACCGTCCTATGACAAATGACTCCACGAACGTATCGCAGCGTACACCGCTCGAAGATCGGCCTTTGGTTGACCGGTCGGCGCCTTTGAACACGCCGGTGAACACGACGTTTTCAGCGCCTACTGACGCAGTGTGCGACACCCAAACCAGCACTACCTGTCACCTGTTCGCTGACACCATGTGTGGCACCGTAACCGAACTAGCTGCCGTCTACCACGCCAGTAGCCAAGCTACTGTCAGCATGGCAATGGCTTCAGATGACGCTCAAGTTATGCCCATGTCCAAGTTACCCACTTGTGACTTCCTTGCTACGCAAACATATGACCATCATGCCGTTCTGAACCCAAGCTCTCCTGTGCCGGCTGGAAAAGGTGGTCCCGTATCCACATACACGTCGCACTATGCCCTGGCACAGCTTGGGCTGTCTGCGATGCACGACTTGGCGCCAAACACCTCTAAAGACAGCGCAGAAAAACTTGAAATCGATCAGCACACCCCACACGACATTCATCGTCACAGTCGTTATCATCAGTGCTGCGCAGGTCGGCGCGACAAAGATGTGTCAGCGTCGGTGCCATCCAGGTACACCACGAGCTCGCGTCGCCAGCCCATCTCTGTTAAACGTGCCTCCCTGCCACCTCCTCTACAGCATTCCAGTGACCTTTATGTAGCGCCACACTAGATTTGGCCAGCTGGCCACGCCGAAAAAGAAGGGAGCCGCGTGGCTCGGAAAGCACGAGTCACAAGGAATGCAGAACGGCCTAGCTTCAGAACCTGGCTGGACGCTGCAGTGGCGACTCCACCTGCGCCTGCGTCCCGAATAAAGCTGCGACCTCGGCACAGGCTGATCGCCGCCGTCTCGCTTCTCCTTCTTCAACAAGTGATGACCACGGACCAACGACCGGCGCTGCACAGCGGCCACTGAGCTTCGCGGCCATGTTCCAGCCAGCTCAAGCCTTGCAGCCGCACTTTGACCCGCCTCTACCACCATTCCGCCCCTCCGACATCAAGTCATGGTTCCAAGAGTTCGAGGCTGCCTTAGAGCTCAACAGAATCTGGTTCCAAGAATTCATGCTCGAGGTCCTGGAGTATGTTCTTCCACTTGACATCAAGCGACGCCTCATCTATTTTTCTTGGAGCACCCGCCTATATGACGGACTACGGGACACCGTACTACGGTTTCGCGGTACTGAACACCGCCTCCGACAAGGTACAGACCGAACACAAGGCGCTTCTCTACCAACCACAATCCAGCCTTCTTCGCAGTTCAAAGTTCGCAAAAGCGACAGCATGGCGTCAGCTACGCCTCTCGCACCATGGTCCGTCCAGACTATCGCTCTGCCAACAACCACCGGCTACACAACTGACGGAGCTCACCCTGTCACTTCAAGCGGCCCTCCGACCAAAAGGCCCATCACCCTAGTGTCTCCGCTGCCTGTTTCCAAGGAGTTGGTTCTGCCACCAGGCCCACTTCCACCTCTCTCCTTGGCAGATTTGACGCCGGTTACAACTTTGGACACATTCGGATTCTTGCCACAATCCTGTCCTGCCGCACAGGCTCCCGAATCGCCAATGACAGATGAGCCAGCTGATCCGCCTGTTGATTTCTCAGGCACAACCGCAGAGCACCCCACTTGAACGGTGAGGACCACGTACAACGAACCAGGCCAGCCAGGATTGCATTTACCTGCGTATGCTGAGCAGTCAATCAACATGCTGCCCTGAGCGCGTGCTGTTCGTCACCGAACCTTCAAGAAAATAACACCACCACTGGTTCAAAGTCTAGTCCTATTGCGGTGTCTGCACCTCTTCTGCGTGACATTCCCTATAACGAGTCTCGGACATGCCAATGGTCAAGTCCTGGAAATGCAAGCGCGTTAGCCCCAAGTACGCCGACACCGGGTCAGGGCTAGGCCTCTATCCTGCCATCGTTTCAAAGACGACGGTGTCGTTCGTGCCACCAGCCACATCAAGGCTACATCTCCAATGCCACAACACAACTTGCGCTGCAGCACAACCCCGACAGAACGCGTCATGCGGACATCACGGCACGTTTCATCATCGGTCAACCTGTGCACTCACGGCAGCACTGTGGACGCAGCACAACACGACAATCGAGATGTCATCCCAGATTCCAGCGCCTACGTCGGGGGCACAAGACGTGCGTAGCCCGCCCATACTACCGACCACCAGCATGTCTACCGGCAGTTTCCATCCCTCGCAACCCTCGCCCGCTGCGATTCTCCCAGAGTCGCCCACCGGAGACCCACTGCTTACCGATGGCCACTCCACGTTGACAACCTGGACATCTCAATGGACACCTTACAGATTGCTGTTCATGTATATAGTATTTGCCCTTTTTCAAAATATGTTTTCGATTGCGCAAAGCGCTAGGGGGTGGTCTATGTAGCGCCACTCTAGATTTGGCCAGCTGGCCACGCCGAAAAAAAACCAAGCCGCGTGGCTCAGAAAGCGCGAGCCACGAGAATGCAGAACGGCTTAGCTTCGGAACCTGGCTGGACGCTGCAGCGGCGACTCCGCTTACGCCTGCATCCCAAATAAAGCTGTGATCATGGTACGGGCTTATCACTGCCGTCTTGCCTCTCCTTCTTCAACAATTCCACATACAGTGCAGACCACTTATACCATAACTGCTTATAGTGCAGTGTTTCAGAAGGACCAGAAAGACCGCAGAACTGATACATGTTCGGTTTATTATTGACAGAACGAGATTAAAAAAATATATAGAGCGTGCGCCTGGCCACTTCTTCCTCGTCTTCGAGCTCCAACTTCATTCTGTTTTCTACATCTTCCCGCCGACCAGATTCAACCGAAGCAACCTTCGAGCGAATTCAACAGTTGAATCGGCCTCTTGACCAGTTTTTCTTCAGGTGTATGAAGCTAGCATGCTCTCGCTAGTTTATCCATGGCTGGGAAAATCTTTTCAACCTTGCAGAGTTTCAACTGTTTCTTTTCGCTCTTCTCCAAGCAGAAGTACATCTCCTTCTTCTATACTTCTGTGACCCTCTATTTTTCTGCTGGCACACTTAAGCTCCCTCAGGTACTTCTTTTTCTATCTGGTCCACCATGTTATCATTGCCTCTTTTCTTGC